TGCCACAACTCTACTCAGAAGACAAAAAGAGTTCCTTTACCAAATAAAAGTAGGAAATATCACATTGCATTTGGGCCACCTGGATTAGCTCTTTGATGCTGCTGAAACAAATGACCAGTTAGTGGTTTAAAACAGCAATTTATCATCTGACATTTCCAGAGATCAAAAATCTGAAATGAGATTTCCAGGCTGACAGTAATGCATTAGAAGGGCTCTATCATTTGTGAGCACCATTTCCATGGCCTTTCCTAGCCTCTACAGGTTGCCTACATTCCTTGGCTCATGACCTCTTCCTCTCCATCTTCTCCAACCTCTGCTTCCAGCATCACATGTATTCCTCTGTCTCTGTTGCCTCTTTCTTTCACTTACGGTTATAATTGCATTGGGTTCTCTTGATAATCCAGGATAATCACTCCAAACCCCAGATGCATAGCTCATGCAAAATTGCCTTTCTCAAGGAAGGTAGCATACTCCTGGGTTCTGGAGAACGAGGATATGGACACCTCAGAGAAGCCATTCTTCTGCCCTACTGTACCCACCACTCCTCTCTGGAAATTGACAGAAGACCTTAGTGTATTAAAGGGATAATTTTAAAGTCTCAAAGACAGGAATCTCACTTTTTTTGATCCAGTGTTTTCCAAATTTACTTAACCAAGGAAGTTTTCTTTCTTCCCAAGGACATCTTTTAACATACCACTAGAATTCTGCTGCCCTTAGAAAAGAGCAGGAATCAAACTGGTGTACACACTTCTCATAGTACCGAGATCTGCCATGTAACATGCCAAAAGAGGTTATAGTGACCCAACTTACAGGCCCCAATTTATCTTTCCAACTTCAGTACCAACTCTCTGAACATTTAATTGCAAACCCTCCACCTGAACTGACTTGAGGTCAAGGCCGAGTGACTCTCCCTTCTCACTGCTGCTTCAACCATGAAGACCTTGTTCTTGTTGTACAATCCCAGGATATAAATTATCCTAGGTCAAACTCAAAGGATCATGTGAAACTCATTCTGGCAGTGCCTTTTTCCAACAAGGCACCATAACTCGGTCCTGCCCACTGCCCATTTAAAGGTACCTTATCAATAAACTCTACATTTGATCTTTAATGTACCTTCCCCTAAAATGTTGAAATGGTAACTTATCCAGGAGGTGAATTTGAATGCCTGGGGATGATCACTAGAACCTTCTCTCAATTTGAGTTTCAATCCATGTGCAACGTTGGGTTCTAGATAACCATTTTGCATTAGGTTATGTGGGTAGATTAGAGACACAGTTTCAAGGGGAAAAAAGGATAGTCCGTTTTTCAATTTTGAAGGGAGACATTCCTCATGCCATTTTCAGACAACAATGGACATTAGACCATAATAGTGACTATATTACAATACTGAACACACTTAAATGAATGATTTTGCAGATTAACTTGAAAATGTCAATAATACCCCAAAAATCACATCTTTTCATATTATTTTACCCTAAGGTAAAAAATGCTTGTTGCCAAGTTTTTACAATATACAAGGATGCACACAGATTTTGTAGAATTCTTACGGAGTGCTGTGGCATAGCATGTAAGACCGCTGTCTCTGATGCCAGCATCCCATATAGGCACAAGTTCAAGTTCCAGCTGCTCTAATTCCTATCCTGCTACTTGCTAATGCATCTGGGAGAGCAGTAGAATACGGCCCAGGTGCTTGGGCACCAGCATCCAGGACAAGCTCCTAGCTCTTAGTTTGGACCAGCCCAGGTTTGTTGCAGCCATCTGGGGAGTGAACCAGTGGATGGAAGAACTCTCTCTTTGTCTGTCCACCTCTTCCCTTCGCTGCATCCTCTCCATAATTCTGCCTTTCAACAAAATATATGTCTTTTTAAAAAAATTATATGGGGAGATACGAACAAAAGCTGCAATGACTACTGTCTTGGAACACAGTGGTGCAAATACTGGTGGTAACAAGGCCAGGGGTCGGAATCAGGCTAGCCAGCAGGGCTTCATCTTAAACAGTAATGTGATAGATCCTGGGTGCAAAGTGAGGCTTACACACACACACACACACATCTCTGCTCTCACAGTGCTACACACAGCCCTAACACTTACTGAGGGGATCCATTGCCTCAGTGTAAGTATATGCCTGCTGCATTTCTAGAGTCTTTAAAAGGAATTTCTCAAATAGTTAGCAGCTGTGGCTACAAAGGATTGACTCTTTCCTTCATATCCCAGAACAAATCCATTTAAATTCCATTGGTCCCATTAGAGCAATCACCTGGGGAGACATGTTCTCATTGCCATGACAGAGCCATTACTCAACTCATCAAAGGTTTTTCTGTGGAATTGACCTCAAAGCATACAGGGTAATCTTCTGAACTTCCCTTGTACTTGCAAATATTTGCTTTTGGAGGACAACTTGGATTTTTAGAAAGATAAAGGTTATTCATACAGAGGTCTGGTGACCATGGTAGATGACCAGACTCAATAGGAACATCATTGGTCTCAGATCCTGTAAGAGCATAAATCAGGAATCCAGAGCTTTCTTGTGGCACAGGAGAATTAGGATATACCATTCATTTATTGTATTTCTGTACAATATGTGTATATTCTATGTTCACCAAGACAAAAGTGAAAAATCCTTGCCGTGTCAGTATCACTTGGCTGTGAAATTGCCTGAGGAACCTGTGGTCTCAGATTGTGGAAACTTCTTGGTCCCCACTGCTTTAGTTCTGCTGATTTCACTGTGGTGACCTTGCTCTGGGCTATAGCCAACTGGTCCCTGCAGTTGGAAGAGACCCAAAAGCAGAAGAAGCTGGAAGAATCCCAGGCTGGGCCAGCCCAGGAAGGAGATGCAAGGCCATTGTTTAAATTGTGTTTAAGTGTTTAGTGGGTTTGTGTCTGCAAAGCTGCTGCAGCCAGTGATTCACCACTGCCCGCTGAAGGAACTAGTCCGATGTGAACAGAGTGGATAGGATCCAGATTGGGGAGGGCCCCAACAAGAACAGAAACCAGTGCGCAGGGCCACTTCTCTGATCATTCTGTCTACCACATCTGCCACTTCGTGTGGCAGAGGGCAATGAATAAGAGCTCTAGGGATTCTAGGGGACTTCCAACTGTCAAAGGACTATTCGTTTCTCTTAGTGCAAATTTGGTGATTCTATTTTACTACTTTCTTCTTCTGCAATGGTTCTCTGGTGTTTTACTCAACAGATACCACTCCACCCTGTGCCCAGAACTGCTAGGTGCTGTGGAAGACCCTGTCTAAAATCCTGTGGCAAGATAAGAATAACAGGCATACATGCTCTAGAATAAGCATAACCAAGGGCTTGCATTTCAAACATAAGCTCCAGCTAACTGGGGACTTTCTAGATAATTTATCAAATCTAGGACATCATCAACTGTAAGATACCATTCTATATGCTTTTCGGAAAGGAAAAAAATGGTGCCAATTAAATTTTAAACTGTTGCTGTTTTGTGACTTGGAATTTTTATCTATATTTATTAAAAGAGACTTTTTGGACTTTTCTACAGACACAATGTGTTACTCTCATGTTTTTTCATAATGTAGAAAATAACAGAAAAATAAATTATGGTTTTCCTGAGCTTTTTTCACAAAGAGCACACTAACGGAGTGCAACAATTTAAAAATATAGATTTACTGATTTATTTAATTAAAATGCAGAGTGGCAGAGGGAGAGGAGGCTCTTCCATCTACTGATTCACTTCCCAAATGCCTATAACCATATAGGCAAGGCCGGCCAAAACCAACAACCAGAAACCAGAAACCAGAAACTCCATCTGAGTCTCCCACATGGGTGGCAGGGACCCAAGTAGTCAGGTCATCTTCTTCTGGCTCCCAGGAACATTAGCAGGCAGCTGGAACAGGAGTGGAATAGCCAGGAATCAAACCAGGCACTCTTGATATGGGATGCAAACAGCAATCGGCAGCTTAATGTGCTATACCACAACATCTGGACCTGCAGCACTGTTAACTTGGAATAACTGACGTTGGTATTTCTCAAACAGAGCCATGTTTTATGGTGCCAAGAACGCTGGCAGGGAAATATTTCTTAGAAAAAAAAATCTCTTCACTTTCTCCCAAATCTCTGATACTTGTTGTATATTTTAACATGCACACAGGAAAAGACAGTCACAGCACAATAGCTCCCTGGCAGTCATGACTGACAGACACATTCTAATATCAACATCTCAAAAGGAGGAAGACACAAGTTAGACATGATGAAATACAGATTCTAAAACTCGGTCAAAAAGCCGACCCATGATCAACTATCTATGTCTTCCCAAATGGGTTTGATACTGGAACTACATTCTTGCCATTAAAGCAAGAATTTGCTCACATGTAATTTCTGTAACTGAATAGTTTCCAGTGTGACAGAGAGAAGAGGAAGTTTGCTGTGACCTGGTAGAGGTTTTCTACATGAAATAGGTCAAAGAAAAATGAGACTCTTACCTATACAAGAGGAGATCACTTCCGGCAAAGGGAAGAGCATGAACACAGTGTCGAAGGTTCAAAGTGGATGAATAAGCTTGCCATGTGCAGAGGAAAGTGGGGTAACCAAGCTGGGGAGGGGTTTGCTTAGAAAATTGCATCAGTTTTTGCTTAAAGAACATAAAAATCAACTTGGTCTTTTTTTCTAATTTGAAATGTGGATTATCAGAGACAAAGACAGACCAAGAGAGATTCCTGTCTGCCAGTTCGTTCGCAATGTGCCTTCAGCAGCCAGGACAAGGCCAGACAGAAGCCAGGAGCCCAGAACTCAGTCAGCCACTTAAGCCATTGCCAGGTCCTCCAAGGAGTAGCACTGGCAGCAAACCAGAATCACGAGCCAGAACTGGAACTTGAACCCAAATCCAGGCACTCTGATAGGAAAAATGGAAGTCTCAAGCAGCAATTCCAACCACTAAATGAAATGCTCATCCCAAATTTAGTGTGTTTTACTCGTAGAAACATAAGAAACAGTTCTCATATTTCTATAACACTTCTTGCCTTTTCATAGGTCCCGATGTTTTCAGTTCCAAGAGTCTTGCCCTTCAAGCCCAGAAGAAGATCCTGAGCAAAATAGCCAGCAAAACGGTGGCTAACATGTTGATTGATGATACCAGCAGCGAGATCTTTGATGAGCTCTACAAAGTCACCAAAGAATACACCCACAACAAGAAAGAAGCACACAAGATCATGAAAGACTTAATCAAGGTGGCGATCAAAATTGGGATCCTCTACCGGAACAATCAGTTCAACCAGGAGGAAGTTGTGGTTGTGGAGAAGTTCCGGAAAAAGCTGAACCAGACAGCCATGACCATGGTCAGCTTCTACGAGGTGGAATACACCTTTGATAGGAATGTGCTTTCCAAGCTCCTGCATGAGTGCAAGGAGCTGGTGCACGAACTGGTGCAGCGGCACCTGACACCCCGGACCCACGGGCGCATCAACCATGTCTTCAACCACTTTGCAGATGTGGAGTTCCTCTCCACTCTCTATAGTCTAGATGGAGACTGTAGGCCCAACCTCAAGCGAATTTGTGAAGGGATTAATAAATTGCTAGATGAGAAAGTCCTTTGAGTGGTCTCCCTCCTCCCAGACTTTGCTGATTGAAAGTTACACTGCCCATTGCCATCTGAGTGAGAATCAAGAAAACAAGAAACCCTTGTCAAAGATGCCTACATTCTGTCCTGTTCCATCCCCTGATGCTGATGCTGGACTGAACTCGGGTGTGTTTATTGCCTGAATTATCTGACACCTGTCCTACCGTCACCTGTATTTGCAAGCCCAAGGGATTGCATTATTTCCAACCAGAAAGGCTGCTTTGTTCATCAGGTGAGCTCAGTTCATCTCATGGCAGGGGAAGGAAGCCTGGACTAGGAGCCTGAGGATGGGACTTGCTTCCCAGCTCCATTTTCCACAGCTCCATGCCCTTTATCCCAGGACCACAGGCTGTCTGCCTACCTCACAGGGCTGTTGTGAGGACTGCAGGAGATGATGTGTGTCCCTGCTTTGGAAAATGATGGTGGAAGGTTACTTAGTATTTCCTCTTCTGAGTGTGAGAGGGATATACATGGATCTGAACTATGAAGCAGCATAGAAAAAAAAGGACAGTAGAATCTACCAGGCTGAGTTGGCAACCTCTCTCTCAGTGTATTGCTTCATGAAATACAACATAATCCAAAAGTGTGGGGGAAAAAGGTTTAAATGCAAATTAGAAGAGTTATGTTTTTTAGGTTTTAGAGCAGGTTTATGATCCTGTGGAGGGAGGCTTCCATGGCCACTGGGAGTTGCCCACCCATCACACAGAAACAAGGAAGCACTGTGCCCCTCCTCCCCTAAGGGGCACCATCCTCACAGGTTTGCACAGGGCATGCACAGGGCAGTCAGGCTGAAAGAACCTTCATCCATATTTCTTAGCCTTTCACAGTCATTTTGTGCTGTTTTCTCTGGTTCATTAATAAATTGAAACTATGCCATTAAAACTAGATGTCTTGGAGTTGTGATTCAAACTAAAATTTCTTGGAGTTAAATAATGGAGTTAAGGAACCAGTGTTACAATGCAGTTTGTTAAGCAAGTGCCTAGACTGTGGGCATGCCACATGGGTGCCAGCTCGAGTCCCGACAAAACACTCCCTGCTGATATACCTGAAAAAGCAGTGGAAGACAGCCCAAATGCTTGAGTCTCTGTACCCACGTGGGAGACCCAGCTGTAGCACCAGGTTCCTGGCTTCAACAAGGCCCAGCCTTGGCTATTGCGGCCATTTGGAGAGTGAACCAGTGGATGAAGATTTCTCTGTCTCTCCCTGTAACCATGCCTTCAAATAAATAAACTTAAAAAAAAAAAAGAATGCTATTGAAAGGAAGAAGAAAACGAAGAATAAGAGATCTGTACTCCAGGTCTTCAGGTAGGCCAGTGGGGAAGAGGCTCCCACACAGACCACGTCCTCTGACTCTCACAGCCTAGCTTGCACACTGAGATGTCTGGCATCTTCTCAAGATCCCCTTAGCCAACATCAGGAGAGTGTATTTATGTCCTTATGACCCCATGCTGCATCAGAAGACTTGGCTTGCCTGCCAAGCATCTGCTGCCTCCACCCTTTCTTCTGCTTCTCCTTTGCCTGATGATACTGTAAAAACATCATCCTAGGTGATTCATCTCACTCTTTGGTCTTTCCCCAGCAACGGTATCAAGAGATGATTTGTGAGAGACCATGGCACAATGTACACTGACCCTCCTGAGTCAGACTCAGCCAGCTCCCATGTCAACATTAGTACAATTTCCGCAGCCACAGAGTTCTTCTGCCCCTAGAATTAGTCCATACAAAGGATGCCCAGCATGGAATGTGGATGAATAAGTTAGGCTCTGTTCTTATATTAAATAAATATGTCTTGTCTCCTAATCTCTGACCTGAACCATTGGGCCTGTGGTGGCCTCTGGTCATTAGGCAGTATTGGTGGGAGCTGTAGGCATCGGGTTCTGCCTCCCTCTACCTGGTAGGTACAGGTCCAGCAGGAGTTGGATTTTCCCACGCAGATTCCTTCAGGCCTGCTTTGGTGTTTTTGTGGGACTTGGGTCTGCTTTTCAACTTAAGAAATGGGTCTAGAAGTTTGTTTTTCACACAAAGATACCAGTACAAGTAACTCAGACCCAAAAGCAGCAGGTGAAACTGCCCTCCGTGTGAGATTATGAAAGTAGGATCCCAGCCAAAGACGCTGCAAGCCCTCCCCATTCCTCAGGCTGCAGCCCAGTCTGGGGTGGCAGGAGGGAGGCTGAGTTGGGCTCTCACAGTGGGCTCATCTCTAAAGAAACTGGTTCCTTTCTTCTCTGGTCTGGGAAGCTTCAGCCCCTTTACCAGCATGTCTCAGCGAGGGCCCTGGGTCAGTGTGGATGGCACTAAGGGAGCCAATGGGGCCTTTTGTACCCCTACAGAGTCAGCTGGTGGTACCTTAAGCTTATCAACACCAGCTGAAAGTATGCAACTAACCAGTAACATGTACACTTCAAATCTAGTATTGACATCAAAATGCAAATGATTCTTGAGCTTCATTAAACAGCTGGAAAGCCTACAACTCCAGTAGTTTACATAATAATATATTCATGAGCGAAAGAGTTTCATTTCACAGTCATATTGGTTTATCCTGAGGGCTCCAACCACACATCATTCAGCCCCAAATAACTGTTTTAGCTGAAATAGAAACTAGCAGGTACTTTCAAAACCCAAACTCTGTATTCGCCCGTATTTGTGGTCAACATGTCTGCACAAATTTTCCAATAGTGAAAAATCTATATTTAGGGGCTGACATGGTGCTGAGGGTTAAGCTGCTCCATGCAGAGTCAGCATCCACTATGGGGGTCCTGGTTCGAGGTTTGACTGCTTGCAATCCAGCTTATTGCTAATGTAGCTGAGAAGTTAGTGGAAAATGACCCAAATGTTTTGGCCTCTGCCACCCATGTAGGAGACTCAGAGTTCCAGGCTCTTGGCTTTGTCCTGGCCCCATATTGGCTGTTGGCAACCATTTTGGGAGTGACTCAACAGATGGAAGATCTCTCTAATTACCCAGTCACAAAGGGACAGGGATGGGATAGAAATATAACTCCCAAAGAAGCACCTGCTCCCCAATGCCTGCAGAGGACAGGAATCTGGAGTTCAATCCAGGTCTCTCATTTAGGTGGCCAAGTAGTTGAGCCATCATCTATCTGCTGCCTCCTAGAGTGTGTAACAGTGGAAGCTAAGTTGGAGGCACAGCAGCTGCAAGTCACACCAGGCACTTTCATTTGGGATGTAGGTGTCTGAGCTAAGACTTTAACTGCTATATCTCTCATCTCTATACATTTTTGTTTTAACATATTCATATGTTGAACTATTTACATTTTGTGTCTTAAGGAGATCTTTGATATATGAATATATATTTGCTAAAAATAAACTGACATTTTTGTCTTCCTATTTTAAAAAAAGAAGACACACCCCCAGTATAAAATCCTCCATCAACTAAGGCCCACCCAGACTTCACAGAGCAATGCTTGGAGAGACAGAAGGCCCTCTCTAAGGGTGGGGGCTGCAGCAGCTGCCTGTAGTAACCATCTGGAAATATCACTCAATCTTCAACATCCCTGAACATTCAGCTCTGGCCTCATGGGAAGATCCCAGGGGTTTGTGCTGAAATTCCCACCTCGTTCCTTGGTCCCTACACTTTGTTCTGTGTCTCCACCCTGCACAGCACATTGCCTGCTGACCAGCACCTGCCATCAGTCTGCTTAGCTCCTTCTTCCTGTGTTTGCATCTGTGAGTCTTGACACCCTCAGTAACTCCAGGTCTCTGCTCAGTATCAAATTAAAATGAAGAGACATTTCCATCTGTGCTTCTCCAAACTCTCATCTCCCCCATCTGCACATTTTTTTTTCAGAAGTAATTTAGTGTGTTAACTGTCTGCTCCAATGAACTTCTTGCATTCTTGTATGTAAAAGAAAGGTGTTCAAATCAGGCTTATTAATCCTCTGTTTCAAAATCTTTGGAGTTTCTTAAAATTTTTAATTCTACATGATCCCAGGGGTCAAGAATAAAATCAATCAATTAAAATTGTAAGCCAGCCAACCAGAGCTGTGTAAGCCTGGCATTAGCAGGAGCTGTTCAACAGTGGATCAGGGGCTCAACGACAGTCAAGGATCAGATCGCCATGGAGGAGACCCTAGCAAGGCCTTCTTGATTCAGAGTCATGTGGTCAAATGGATTTTCTTCGTTTACGCTGCCTCTGCCACGTAAGCCATGACCCAAGCTGGGCCCAGCCTTGTGCTCTCTCTGTATCTGGAGAACTTCCTTGTTTGGGAGAAAATACTCTACTACAAGTAAATAGCATCTATGAATCGAAAAGTTATGTTGTCGGGGCTATGGAAGAAGTGAAGTCCAGCAGCATTTTTAACTTTTTGTGTCATTCTAACAACTTTTTTTTTTTAAAGATTTATTTATTTTTATTACAAAGTCAGATATACAGAGGAGGAGAGATAGGGAGGAAGATCTTCTGATTATTCAATCCTCAAGTGATCGCAACAAGCCGGTGCTGTGCAGAACCGGAGCCAGGAGCCAGAAACTTCCTCCAGGTTTCCCACATGGGTACAGGGTCCCAAAGCTTTGGGTCATCCTTGACTACTTTCCCAGGCCACAAACAGGGAGCTGGATGGGAAGCAGAGCTGCCGGGATTAGAACCGGCGCCCATATGGGATCCCAGCGCACTCAAGGCAAGGACCTTAGCCACTAGGCCATGCCGCCGGGCTCCTGACAACTTTTTCTAAAGATAAATTAAATCATGACTGTGTTCTAAATCCTGTGGGAATGACCATATAGCCAAGGGGTGCCACTGGTTTCAGAAGCTGATTTATCTAGGTAGTAACAATGCCATTCAAGCTGCTTGAGCATCCCAAGTGAAAGGAAAGAACTGATCCCAATGTGGTTCTTTTTTTTCCAGACTAGGTCTGGAATCCCTGAGGGGCCTGTAGGCATGACCAGGGCTTCTAGGAGTGCTCTGATTTGAATAACACGGCTTTGACATGAAAAATGCAAGCCAGCTGGCAAGGAGCAGAGATGTGGGACACACGGGTCTGCACTAGGCATGCAGGTGGGTTTGTGAGTAGCTTACCTGCCATTTGGAAGCTGGGCCAGGACAGCTGTTGCCTACAAACCACAACCAAGAATTGATTAGCAATTAACCGAACCGCAACCCCAATAACTAACCTCAAAAGCACCAGAGTGTCCATCGCTGGACAAAATGAGACTACTTCAAGAAAGGGAGTCAAGGAGAAGTCACCTACACATGCCCTCTCTGTTGCAGTTTCAGCCTCATGGACTGATACGCAGACAAAAGTCCCTGACCTCAAGCTAGCCTGTGTGGTTCTGGAATCCCCAGAGCTTATTCCTAAAGAATGAGGCACGTGGCACTCTGGTCCTGGCTGCATCAGATTCCCCCTCATTAGAGAGAAAACAGTGCTGAGCATGAACACACACACACACACACCCGTGTCCCTGCAGCACCTTCGTGCTGCCGTTTGCCTTGTCTTTCCCTCGTTTGTCTGTCTTCTGTTCAACCCACAGGTCTCCATGGAGGAGGGGTCCCGGCAGCCCACCCACACAGCTGCAGACTGAGCAGCCAGGCCTCCCAGGCTGTGATAGAGAGCTCCTCTTAGCGAAGGCCATTCTGGACTAGTTCCTGGGACAAGGGAGATTAGAGTTTGGCTCCAGCCTTGAGGAGGGGCTGGGTAGGAGCCAGAGGCTGGCGCAGACTGAGTGTGCAAGCCTAGGAGTGGGGAAATAGCAATTTGGTTATGTTGCGGAGAGAAGCACTTTTCCAGGCTGCGTCACTTAGGAAGGAAGGGTTTATGGGTTGGTCCCCAGAGAGTCATTTGGGCTCCTTTCCACCTCGGAGCAGCCAGTTTCCCTATCAGCACCATCGTTCCCTTCCGCAGTGGCCTGGGGTTGCCCCTACT